GTTTAGCAATTTTAATTGTTAGTTATCGATTTCCAGCTAATTACAAACTAATACGCCAGATAGCGTATCACATTTTTCATCGACTACTTCCTGAAATTTAGTTGTTCAGCATCTGTACATACTAACCCGATGTTGGCGCCTTTTCGCTAATTCAATCTCATGCAATGCTTGCTCCTGATTGGTCGGAGCACTTGCCTTGATGTCCCACTCCTATACATAATAACAATAATCTAGGACATTCACCAAAATTTGTGCATTTTTCTCTACACCTACATTGATTTTTCTCGGCGTGATATTAAAGTAAATAAATACATATTTTTTTAAAAAAAATCATTAAATTGTTTGTATAAATGTTTTTTATTATAATAATTTGTAATTAATTTTCAGTCAATCAGTAGTTTTTCAATCATACAGTAGTTTGTGTTGTAAAATGTGATGTCAATGATTGTAATTAATTGTTTTTAATATTAAAAAATGTTTTACCAATCAATTATCACAAACATCTATCCATTAATCCTATTGTCTACTCTTTTGATGCCATCATCAAACAGATCAAGTGTTTAATAATTAACAGATTGATTGAATTGAATAATAATTTCAAATAAATTTAATCAATAAACAAACAAACAAAAAAAGTATACATCAAATTAGTGTCAAAATAAATGATCAAATGTATAGCTAGAGTATAAGTAATTATTTAATATAATTTATGTTTACAATTGAGTTATTATAAAAATGATTTTACAATTTAAATGTGATTTTAATGATTGCAATAAAAAAATTTAAAAAATTAGATTAATAGTCATAAAAATGTCAAACATTAAGAGATTACATAATATATATTATGATATATTAAAATTCAATTATATTATAATTTTTTAAAAAAATATTTAACACAATATTTTATATAGATTAAGAAAGTCATAAAAATGTCAAACATTAAGAGATTATATAATATATATTATGAAAAATATTGAAATTCAATTACAGTTAAAACTTATTTTTAAAAAAAATATATTTAACACAATTAGTGTGTGTGTGTGAAATAAACGATCAAATATATAGCTAAAAGTACAGTAATTATTAATATAACAATTTAAATGATTGATATCAATAAAAAAAAATTATTAATATTGTCATACAATAGATTGTCGTTAAATAACATTAAGAGATTATTATACCGTATTATATATATTATGAAATATTGTAATTCAATTACAGTATATTTTTTGAACACAATTTTCTTCCAAACATAAACACTTTGATCTGACCATCAAACAGATCCATGTATTTCATATACAAATGTTTGATTTTCGACCTATCATTGGATAGCAAATACTTGTCAATAATAGGTCGGGTTATTGTCAACTGTTTTGGTTGGCCATCGATAAGTAGACCAGACAAATACGGTAACGATGCCAACTCTACGAGCGTTGCGGTAGTTATAGATGCCGTACCGCTAATGACCAGCGATTGTAGACGCGGTAGATTGCGACCAATATTGCGGCAAAAATTATCGCAATCTATTACCGATTCGTTCCAGTTTATCATTAAAAGTTTTAACCGATGCATACGATTCAGTCGATCGCTGGTCAACTGTTGGCCGCAACCGTTATCCTCTCTATAACTAATGAACGACAGAACTCTCAGTTGTTTGTTGAATACAATTATTATTATTATTGATTTGGTATTCAATGTATGTATTAATATTAGTAGTGTTGTGTTGTATTTTTTTTTTTTTTTTTTGTTAAATTTACATTTTATAAAAACATTTATTTATTTTTAATCTGATATTTATTATCATTATATTCACTGAATTACAAGAGACTATTGAAGATATAATAAAAAAGTAAAGATCACTGAAAACAATGACCACAACAACAACAGTCAATCAGTAGTTTTTCAATCATACAGTAGTTTGTGTTGTAAAATGTGATGTCAATGATTGTAATTAATTGTTTTTAATATTAAAAAATGTTTTATCAATCAATTATCACAAACATCTATCCATTAATCCTATTGTCTACTCTTTTGATACCATCATCAGACAGATCAAGTGTTTAATAATTAACAGATTGATTGAATTAAATAATAATTTCAAATATATTTAATCAATAAACAAACAAACAAAAAAAGTTTACATCAAAATTAATGATCAAATGTATAGCTAGAGTATAATTGTTAATACAATTTATGTTTACAATTGAGTTATTATTTAAAAAATTATAAAAACAATTTAAATGTGATTTTAATGATAGCAATAAAAAAATTTAAAAAAAAATTTTTTTATATAGATTAAGTAAGTCATAAAAATTTCAATCATTATATACCGTAATATATATTATGAAATATTAAAATTCAATTATATTATATTTTTTTTTTAAATTTAATACAATTTTTTATATAGATTAAAGAAAGTCATAAAAATATCAAACATTAAGAGATTATATAATATATATTATGAAAAATATTGAAATTCAATTAAAGTTTTCTAAATTTTCTTCCAAACATAAACACTTTGATCTGACCATCAAACAGATCCATGTATTTCATATACAAATGTTTGATTTTCGACCTATCATTGGATAGCAAATACTTGTCAATAATAGTTCGGGTTATTGTCAACTGTTTTGGTTCGCCATCGATAAGTAGATCAGACAAATGCGGTAACGATGCCAACTCTACGAGCGTTGCGGTAGTTATAGATGCCGTACCGCTAATGGCCAGTGATTGTAGACGCGGTAGATTTTGACCAATATTGCGGCAAAAATTATCGCAATTTATTACCGATTGGTTCCAGAATATTGTTAACAGTGTTAACCTATGCATACGATTCAGTCGATCGCTGGTCAACTGTTGGCCGCAACCGTTATCATTGGTATAACAAATGAACGACAGATGTCTCAATTGTGTCAGATTTTTATTGATTGCGGCAAATAGTCTGTCCATTAGTTTGCCGTCAATTTTGGTCAACAAAATGAACACAAATAGTCTTAATTGTGGCATTTTTTTCGACAACAAACCGATTACTACAGACTGATTGTCGACGTTTGATAGCATCGCACACATCACCGATATGTTCAACGATCGTATCTGTTGGCCATAAGTGTCGGCAAATTTGCTAAACAATGTCAGCGATTGTTTGTTAGACAGGTTAACGTTAAACGATTTCAATCCAATCGGCAACCGATTGACGCGGAAGTGACTATCGGTAAATAAATCGTCACTTCCAGTGATCTCCACTGTCTTTAAATGAGGCAATCGGTCGCAAACTTTGTACAGTAGTTGTCGATTGAATTGTTTATTATTATTATTGCCGTCAAACTTGAATGTCTGTAATTGTTGGCCAAATCGGTCGATAAACGCCTCAAATATCGCGTCTACGATCGGCCAGAACTCAGTAACCTTTTGTCCTATTGATAAGTGTGTCAATTGGTTGCAGTGTTTGATAAGCAGATACAGTAAACCGTCAAAGAAATTGATATCTTTTACAATAACTGTTGAAATGTTTGGACACTTTTTAACAACGGTTTCAAACAGTTTTAACTTTTTAACATTTTTTAGTGTCATCTCGAAAGACATCCGTTTGAATAGTTTGTCATCCAATACAAGATGCGTTTGACCGGTAAATATCAATGACTGCCACTGTTTGGACACCGATTCTAGTCTTAGTTTGTCATCGATTGGCAAATAAGTGAACAATAGTTCCGCCAAATCATCGCCGAAGCGATCAAACGAGTCATTCATTGCTGTCATCACTGATGGTGTTGTTGTGGTCATTGTCTTCACAAGTAATCTTCAGTAAGGGTTTTGTTTTGTCTCAACAAAACTTGTCAATCAATTTAATCCACAAAAAAAATCTATTGAAAACAAAACAAAAATAATTAAATCATTTACTAATTTTCAGTTAATAATCAAACACTTTATACATTCAATGACAACAACAAACACAACACAAAACTACTACTAATACTTACATTTGATTTACAAATCAATTGTTTTAATAATAATAATAATAATAATTGTATTCAAAATGCAATTCAAAATCAATGACAATGAATATAACACAAAACTATTGCGCAATACTATAGAATAGATACTGGCAGGAAAAGCTTACTAGCTTAATTTTTAAATAAATTGATGACGTAGTTTATTAAACATAATAAAAACTTATAAAAAATATCATCATGTACATATAAACTATTACTAATTTGCAAATAATAACGTAAAATTTTAATTTAAAAATTAAGCTAGTAAGCTTTTCCTGCCAGTATCTACTATAGAAATTACAATTTAATTATTATTATTATTTGATAGACTGATTGGTCCTTAAAAAAAATAATTATAATACATATTATATCTAAACTTTATATTATTAGTACATTTCTATATAATAATTAATGTATTATTTCTCAAATGTTTTCAATTATATCAAATGGTACTAAATATGTTGAATACAATTAAATTGAATAATATTTATTTAAATTTTTTTTGTACAAAAATTTTATTAAAATTTTTTTTTATTTGCAATAAATAATGTCTAATAAAAAATAATATTATGTTTTTTTTAAATGTATGAATAAACTATAAATTATTAGTACAAAAATTTGTTAATATTTATTTTTTTGTACAAATATATTCATTGAATTTGAATACAATTATTATTATTATTATTAAAACAATTGATTTGTATTTCAATTGATTTATTAAATAATATTTTTCAATAAAATTTTTTTTTTACAAATTTAATAGTATTTAACAGATTATAAGTACCATTTGATATAATTGATCTAACATTTAGAATCAATAGATTAATTAATACATAAAATAGTACTAAATATCAGTTTAGAAAATATAATTATTTTGAGCGTCAAATGTCTATCAATTAATAATAATAATAATAATAATAATTAAATTGTAATTTCGATAGTATTGCGCAATAGTTTTGTGTTATATTTTATCATTGATTTTGAATTGCATTTTGAATACAATTATTATTATTATTAAAACAATTGATTTGTAAATCAAATGTAAGTATTAGTAGTAGTTTTGTGTTGTGTTTGTTGTTGTCATTGAATGTATAAAGTGTTTGATTGTTAACTGAAAATTAGTAAATGATTTATTGATTTTTAAATTTAGTTTTCAATAGATTTCTGGATTGAATTGATTGATGAGTTTTGTTGAGACAAATCAAAACCCAACTGAAGATTACTTGCGAAGACAATGACCACAACAACGACAGCAATGAATGACTCGTTTGATCGTTTCGGCGATGATTTGGCGGAACTATTGCTTCAATATCTGTCAATCGATGACAAACTTAGACTACAATCGGTATCCAAACAGTGGTTGGCATTGATATTCACCGGTCAAACACATCTAGTATTGGATGAAAAACTATTCAAACGGATGTCTTTCGAGATGACCGTAAAAAATGTTAAAAAGTTAAAACTGTTTGAAACGATTGTTAAAAAGTGTCCAAACATTACAAAAGTTAATGTAAGAGATATCAATTTCTTTGACGGTTTACTGGATCTGCTTATCAAATACTGCAACCAATTGACACACTTATCAATAAAACAAAAGGTTACTGAAGTCTGGCCGGTCGTAGAGCCGATATTTGCGGAGTTTATCGAGCGATTTGGCCAACAATTGAAGACATTCAAGTTTGACGGCAATAATCAACAATTCAATCGACAATTATTGTACAAAGTTTGCGATCGATTGTCTCACTTAAAGACAGTGGAGATCACTGGAAATGACGATTTATTTACCGATAGTCACTTCCGGGTCAATCGGTTGCCGATTGGATTGAAATCGTTTAACGTAAAACTATCGGACAAACAATCGCTGACATTGTTTAGCAAATTTGCCGACTCTTATGGCCAACAGATACGAACGTTGAACATATCGGTGATGTGTGCGATGCTATCAAACAACGATAATCAGTCCGTAGTAATCGGTTTGTTGTCGAAAAAAATGCCACAATTAAGACTATTTTCGCTGATTTTGTTGACCAAAATTGACGGCCAACTAATGGACAAACTATTAGTCGCAATCAATAAAAATCTAACACAATTGAGACATATGGCGTTGATTTGTTATACCGATGATAACGGTTGCGGCAATCAGTTGACCAGCGATCGACTGAATCGTATGCATAGGTTAACACTGTTAACAATATTCTGGAACCAATCGGTAATAAATTGCGATAATTTTTGCCGCAATATTCATCGCAATCTACCGCGTCTACAATCGCTGGCCATTAGCGGTATGGCGTCTATAAGTATCGCTACGATCGTAGAGTTGGTATCGTTACCGCATTTGTCTGATCTACTTATCGATGGCGAACCAAAACAGTCGACATTAAACCGACCTATTATTGAAACGAATTTACTATCGAATGATAGGTCGAAAATCAGACAATTGTATATCAAATACATGGATCTGTTTGATGGTGAGGTCAAAGTGTTTATGTTTGGAAGAAAATTGTGTTAAGTATTAAAAAAAAAAAAATAACAACAATTTTTTTGTTAACTGTACCGGTAATTGAATTTCAATATTTCATAATATTTATATATTACGGTATAATCTCTTAATGTTATTTAATGACAATTTATTAATAATTTTTTTTATTGATATCAATCATTTAAATTGTTTTTTTTAACATTTATATAATAACTCAATTGTATTAATAATTACTGTAAATATCAATAAGTACTTAATATTTTTCATAATATATATTATATAATCTCTTGAAAATGTTTGACATTTTTTAATGACTTTCTTGAATTTGTTTAAAAATAATTATTTTTTTTAATAGAAATTTTTTTATTGCAATCATTAAAATTACATTTAAAAATTGTTTTTTTTAACATTTATATAATAACTTGTATTAATAATTATTGTACTTTTAGCTATATATTTGATCGTTTATTTCATACACTAATTATTGTTCACTAATTTGTTTTAAACTTTTTGTTTGTTTTATTTGTTTATTGATTAAATTTATTTGAAATTAATTACTAATCAATTCATTTATTCAAAAAAAAAACAATTTTCAGTTTCAATTAAATGAAAATATTTAATAATTGTAATAAATAATTATTAAATAATTAATTGTAATAGATTGAAAACTATTTTATTTAATCAATATTTTTTTCAACAATTAACTGTTAAATTTGATGCTTTTTTTTTGCTGATTATTTGTTAGACAACATTCAATTGAATAACACATTCAATGCATTTTTATTTATTATATAATTTTTTAAAATTATGTTTTGAAATTATAAAATAGTGAAAAATAAATTTTTTTATCATCCCTAGTAAATTAAACGAGTCAGTGGGGAAAAGCAAAATTGGGGGGGGGGAATAGGGAACTGTAATGACCGATAATCTACATATTTTTTTAACGGTATTTAAAAAAACCGGTAATTAATTAATTAGTTATTAACAGTGTTTAATAATAAATGACATTTGTTTCATAAAAGACAGATTATTCATTAATAATGAATAGGTTTCAACAACAAAAAAATATTCAACAAAAAAAATTGTCAAATAAATTGATATCATTTATACTGATTGTTGTAATGTTTGGACAATCAATTCAAATAAACAAATAGTATTTGTTTTTTTAACGAATAATATATTTAAAAATCTTTTAAATATATTATTAGCAATTTTTTTTTTAATTTTTAATCTTTAACTATAATAGTAAAAAATTTTCATTAATTTTTTATCAAATACTAGATGTGTTTGTGTATTGAATATCAATGCCAACCAACTGTTTGGACACCGATTCCAGTCTTAGTCTGTCATCGATTGGCAGATATTGAAGCAATAGTTTCGTCCAAATCATCGCCGAAGCGATCATCAAACGAGTCATTCATTGCTGTTGTTGTCTTCAGTGTTGAAAACTCGTCAAACAATTCAATGATATCTATTGATAACAATAAAAACAACAAATTAATTAATAATTCACTTAACAATCAGTGAATAATTTCAAATTCAAATTTACCATTGATTTTGATCGCTTGCTTTTTTAGGGCAATAATTTTTTTTAACTAATTTGTTAGTAAACTATTTTTTTAAATTTAAATTTATTTAATTTATTTTTAAAATTAATAAAATATATTTGAAAAATTGTATTTATGAGATCCATATGCAATATTGGATCAACCAAATAGGATATGTGGGAAAAATGAAAAGGAGAGGGGAAAAATTTCAATAGACATTTAACAAAAGCAATATAACGTTGATTAGTGATTATATTTTTTGTTTAATAAATAATAATTATTATTTAATTATTTATAAACTCAGTAATATACTATTTTTTTTGTTTAGTTAGTTATATTTATTTTTAAAAAAAATTAGTGTTTAATTAGTAAGAAGTTTAATTTGTGCATAACTATGGAAATAATTGAAAATGTGCATGTTCATTTTTTAAAAAAAAAATAAATAAAAATAATCACGAATCATTTTACTAATACAACTGACTATACAGTATGTGATGTTTTAATATAGTTTAATTATAATAACAATTATTATAATTATTATAGTAGTATAATTATTATAGTAGTATAATTATATCAATAGTATAATTAATTAGCAATATATATAAAATAATAAATTTTATTAAATTATTAATATTTATAATTTAATTTTTTTAATTAATTTATTAATTAATTATTAATTATGGATTTAATAATACGATCGCAACACCACAATGATGTTGAGTATTATAAACATAATTCAATAATTGAATTATGTATTGAAAAACTAAAATTAAATGCAATAAATTGATTGCAATAAAACAAATTAAAAAATTTAACACAATTTTTTATATAAATTAAGAAAGTATTAAATTAAGAGATTATATAATATTTATTATGAAGTATTAAAATTCAATTACAGTATAATTTTTTTTAACAATTAATAATTAATACTCTACTAAATAATTGGATGCAATTATTTTTTTTATTTTTTTAAAATTTACAATTAAAATAATAAGTTTATTAGAAAAATTATAAATAAATAATATTTGAATTCAATAATAATAATTATATATATATATATTAATTATTTGATTATTAAAAGGTTTGTTTTCATTAATCTCTATATATATATATTATATATATCTATGTATTATTCTATGACTGAATGACTGACTGTTTTGTTGAGCTTTTAAAGTATAATAAAAACAAATCAGTAATTATTTTATATATTTAGTTAGTTATAATCATTATTTTTGTTTATGATTTGGCAAAAAATTGAAAATTAGTTTTTTTTTTAAATCTAAATCATGAATCATTTACTAATACAACTGTATTATATATACTGCCCTATCATTAATTATCAATATATACTGTATATATATATATACCGTATATATATGTAAAATAAGTATAGTATTAAATTAAATTATAAATTTTTGATATTTATATATTATATTATACAGTATATATATAATTTAATTTTTATAATTTTTATAATTTAATAATTAATTATGGATTTAATAATACGATCGCAACACCACAATGATGTTGAGTATTATAAACATAATTCAATAATTGAATTATGTATTGAAAAACTAAAATTAAATTCAAATAAACTATATATGGTTTGTCAGTTATTTATTAATTAAAAATTAGTTAATTATTATTATTATTACTTTATATCCAATATTATTATAATTATTATTATATTATTATTAAATCTAAGTCTGACATCGAAACGGGTCGTCAATGGACCAGAGGTCAGGTACTTGAATCGGCCCTTAATTTTGGTCAATACCTGATCAGCGATTGTCGACTGGAAACGGGAGATATTGTATGTTTTATTACACATAGCAATGACATTCATATGATTGCATTGTTGGGCGTATTGGCCGCCGGAGGTTTCTATACATCATTGAATATGTCGTTCACTGAAAGTATATTTAAATTAAATAATTAATTTCACACAAAAAAAATAATTATATAATATTTTTTAATTAATTGATTTTTTTAAAAAAAATTTATAATAAATAGATGAAATAGTCGATACAATTGCAGAAATTAAAGCAATAACTATTATAATCGGTTACGAAAAAAATATTAAATTTCTAAGACAACTAAATAGAAAATTTAATAACATTAAGGTATAAAAAAATAAAAATAAAAATTTATCTAAATTGATTATAAATTAAATTATAAAATATTCATATAAATTACTAAAATATGCTTTTTTGATCATAATTATTTGAAAAAAATAAATTAAAATAGATTTATTTAAAAAAAAATTAAATCTAACTTATCTAAATTAACACTTATATATTATTATTATTATTATTATTTAGAAATAATTATTATAAAAATTAAATTAGTATTAATTCAAAAAGCTCTAAATATATATAAATACAGTATAAATTAAATTATTTAAAATTAATATATAAAAATTTATATTATTAGAAATAATTTAAACAAATATAGATATGTTTATATAATTAATTAATTAATTTACAAAATTATTAGACAATTTTATTGCTTAACGACAATGATGTTGTAGTTGTAGCTGAAGATAATATCCCTGACCAGCAGCCAGTTATCCATGAGGACAGTCGGTCAGTGGAAACTATACTGAAAATAACAACTGAAGACAACATTACTAAACAACGACAACAACTATCGATTGTCGGACAACCAGACGATTTGATAACACTAGAGATGTCCAGTGGTTCGACTAATTGTCGTCAAAAAGCTATTATATGGACAAACCGTCAGTGGTTGGCACTGATGGCCATTGAACAACATCGGGAAGTATTGCCGCTGACCGCTGACGACATAATGCTATCGCGAACATCGTTTCACTTAATGGGTGTACGCTATCTATTCTATACTATAGTAGCATCAGATAGCGCACAGTTAGTCATAGTTAGTAGTAGTCTATCCACTGATCAAAAATTTCAAGCAATACACGACTATAGTGTGACCATGTATTTTGCTTTACCGACCGAACTGTGGTTTCTGGCCAAACATTACCGTAAATATGATAAACAATATTTGAAATCATTGCGTGACCTACGAGTTGGCGGCGATTCAATAAATAATGAGATTTATAACAAAATCAATCGATTGTATGGATTCAATAAATTTAGAAAAAGTATAAAATATTATTAACTATTATTAACTAACTATTAACTAATTATTAACTAACTATTAACTAACTATTAACTAACTATTAACTAACTATTAACTAATTATTAACTAATTATTAAATAACTATTAATTAATTATTAACTAATTGTTAACTAATAATTAACTAACTATTAACTAATTATTAACTAATTATTAACTAATTGTTAACTAATAATTAACTAACTATTAACTAATTATTAACTAATTATTAACTAACTATTAATTAATTATTAACTAATTGTTAACTAATAATTAACTAACTATTAACTAATTATTAACTAACTATTAACTAACTATTAACTAACTATTAACTAACTATTAACTAATTATTAACTAATTATTAACTAATTATTAACTAACTATTAATTAATTATTAACTAATTGTTAACTAATAATTAACTATTTATTAACTAATATATTTAGCTTACGGTATGTCTGAGTGTGGTTTAGTATTTATAGTGCCGTCCAGTGAACAGAATATTGCTAACCATACGGACAGTATTGGCAAAGTCGGTCCCGGACTGGAAGTCAAGATTATTGACACAATTAGTGGCAATAGTTTACCGGCCAATCAAACGGGACAGATATGTATACGCGGACCAACTGTTAGTTTTTTTTATATATAAAAATTATTTTATCTTAAACTATCTAATTATTATTTTTGTTGATTAGTTAACACCAGGATATTATGGTAATCCCAGTGCTACCAAACAATTGTTTACCACCGATGGCTTCCTATTGAGTGGTGATCTCGGATACTATGATGAGAACGAGTACTTCTATTTTGTCGGTCGATTGAAAGATATTATTATATTTGATGGTTTGTTTAATAAATAAAAATAAAATAATAATTTATAAAAAAAAATATTATTTAGTTAATTAATTTACAGTAATTAATCAATAAATCAAAATATTTTTGATTTTAGCTAAAAATATTTCGCCAAAAGAGCTGGAATTGCAACTAATGACACATCCGTTGGTCGATAGGGCGGCTGTTTTGGGTATCGATGACCAACAGTACGGACAGATACCCCGGGCTTTTGTTACACTTATAGCCACCGATGCCGACGACAATACTGATGATACTGATGGGGTGATGAAGCTTAAGGAACGGGATATACAACAGTATGTCAATGAAAGAGTCAATGTATATAAACAGCTAAGGGGTGGTGTTAAAATAATTGATAAAATGCCCATGACCAGTTTGGGCAAAATTAGCAAGGCTAAATTAAGAGAGAAATTTATTACTAAACAATTCATTTAGTTTACAATTGTTTTGTAATTTTTGTGTTGTTGTTGTTGTTGTAATTAATTTAACAACAATAAGTCTAAAAAGTAATTAAACTTATTATTAAAATTTGCTATTAGTATTCAAGTATTGTATTAATGTACGATATAATACATTAAAGTATATTATATGATATTATAATTAATACAGTATTATTATATACATAATTAGATATATAATTTTTATTATATAATTATTTAATACTTAAATTTAATTTTTTAAAAATATATATAATTTACTGTATTGTTTATATTGTTGTTAGTATTAATAAAAATAATAATTATTATAATATCAAATGATTTTTTAATTTATACTTCATATTATTTAATTAACAAATATTTTATTTTTTAAAAATTATTTTTAATAATATTTAGCAATCAATATATTTTAGTTTTTAAATATTGTAATTTAATAACTAAAAACTAAACTTTTTTACAAACAATTTTAAATAATAGTTATATTTAAAATTTTTGGTTTTATTATAAAAAAAATATATCAATATTTATAAAAATCTTATTAAATCATTATTATTAACAAATTTTATTAACAATTAATTTATAAAAACAATTACTATTACAATAATTATTGTTAAACTTATAATAATGTATTTTTTTGTCATTTCAATTAATTTATTATTAAAAATTAATTCAATGTTTGTTTTATACAATGGCTTAATAAATTAGATTTTTTGTTTTTGTAATTTAAGAAAATTAATTTAATATAATGTAATAAATTTTCTAAATTATTTATAATATTAATAAATAACTAATAGATGTCAACATACAATATTATAATATATTGTAAATTATAAATTTACAAAAAAATAAAATAAATTTATTACACATTACTACTGTATATATACAATGTTTATTGTGTTGTTATTATTAATTATTATTAAATATAATTATTAGTTAAGACTGTATTATTATTAACATAATAATTATATCAATAGTAATTTAGTAGTTTTGTAATTAAATTAATAAATAAGTTTGTAATACTGTTTTTATATAAATATTTATTCAATTGATTGATTGATTACATATACTGTTTGTTCAATATAATTACTATTATAATAATAATAATTGATTTGAAAAATCAAATGTTAGTATTTATTTTAATAGTAGTTTTATTGTATTTATCAATGAATTCATAATATATTTAAATTTTATTAAATTATTTGTTTATTTCTAATTTTTTATATATATATATATATAATTTATAATATTCATTGAATTACATGAAAAAAATCAATAGACTATTTGAAAGTTAATAAAAAGTTAATATCACTGAAGACAATGACCTCAACAACAACAGCAATGAAGGATTCGTTTGATCGCTTCGGCGATGATTTGTGTCAACTATTGCTTCAATATCTGCCAATCGATGACAAACTAAGACTACAATCGGTGTCCAAACAGTGGTTGGCATTGATATTCAATACACAAACACATCTAGTATTTGATGACAAACTATTCAAAAGAGTTTATAAAAACTCATTGATTGACAACAAACAGACAATTAATTTGTTTGAATTGTTGGTCAAAAAGTGTCCAAACATTACAACAGTAACTATAAATCATTTTCTCAATTATTTTGATTTATTGATTAAATACTGTCACCGATTGAGACATTTGTTACTGAATTATACTGATTGGCAAACATATAACAAATCATTTGATTGTTTTTGTCTGAAATTTGGTCAACAATTGCTGACATTTAAGTTAAGCGGAAAATTCATCGAAAGAAATCAGATATTGTTTTATAAAAATGTCGAAAGTCTGGCAAACTTGAAGACAGTGGACATCACTATAAACTGGCGAACAAGTCTTGGATTGGATATCATCATCGGTGACAATAAGTTGTATTCATTGCCGAAAACTATACAATCGCTGTCACTAAAAGTGGTCAACAATTCTATTAAATTATTTATTAGCTTTACAGCCACTTATGGCCAACAAATCACTACATTGGATCTATTGGTCGATGAATTTGAAAATAAAAACAAATTTCAAAAGAAACTGACCGGCGGTTTGTCACAAATGCAACAATTGAAACAACTGGCCATTAGATTGCCCGCCGATGGTTTCGGCACCGATCAGACCGTACGACTGTTGACAACAATTGGCCGCCGGTGTCGACAACTGATAGAGTTTAGCTATTCATTAAGCCATTCATCGACTACTGGCTTAATTGACCGAATATTTACGGCAATCGGTGAACATATGTCACCACAATTGAGACGATTATCAGTGAAATGTCTTGGATTGAAATATTTGACACAATCTCTATGCAAGAGTAGTCGGATAATCGGTGATCAGTTTTTAGGTGATATTCATCGCAATCTTCCGCGACTACAGTCTATACATTTGGACAATACGTTCATCACTGAGAAGTCGATCCGGGCTTTGGTACAGTTGGCACATCTCAGGGATGTCTTTCTCCGATGTGATGGACATCCACTGACAACAAGTGAATCCTATATTAGACAACATTTACTAAATGGTACTAAAGTTAAACACTTGTATATTGAATACTGGGATTCAATAAATAGACTACAAGTGTTTAAATACGGAAAGTATTTATATATTGATTATATATTGATTTGTATTAATTTTGTATAAATCATATAATTAATTACAATTAATATATTAGTAATATTATTGATAATTTAATATTAGTTTTATAATACTTATAATTAGCTTTAATTATATAACAGTTATTAGTTTATAATTATATACTGTACTAAAATATATTAATATTATATAATCTCAAACCATTGATAATATTATAATTATTTAAATACTTTAAATTAATATATGATTGTAATTCATTGTTTTTTTAATATAAAATTGTTTGCAATTTATAAAAAAAAAATAAATTATATTATTTATATAACAAGAAAACTCTCTGTAAATAAATTCACTGTTAATAAACACTAAACTATAAATAAACTAAAATCAATTGTGATTATAACAGATGCTATAAATATTTTTAATTATAGTACAATACTTTCAGTAAAATTAATTATAATTCTAATCATTTAATTATCACACTAATAATACATACTTTTGAAAACTTTTATTATTAATTATTATTATATAAATATTAGATAAATTGAAATTTATTATAGAGTTATTGTCTGTTAAATTCTAATTTATTTATTAAATTTTTGTAAATATGATATATTATTTTGCTGTTTGTTGTTATAAATTAAAGTCAATAAATTAGATATTGTTTACTAAAAAAAATGTTTTCAATTTAAACAAATAAATAATAATAATTAAATGTAAAAAAAATTATATTACATTTGTATTAATCACATTATAAATAACTAATATATAGATGTCATCAATAATAAAGTGTTATTCAATCAGCAAATAATACTGTATTATAAATTATAATTTATAATTATCAGGGTTGTAATTTTGAACACCCCCTCCCCCACCTATGAAAATCGACTCGTTTTAACATGGTTATTTTTATTACAGTGATTATTAAAAGTGTTTTTTTATCACTAACCAAGGTAATTAAGTACTAAAGATTAAGTAATATACAATAATACTAATTTTTACTACGTAGTTAAATTTATTTTATTTTATTAAAAAATAAATCTAAAAAAATTATAAAATTATTTAATTAATTTAATATATGTTAATTAATTAATTAATTAATTTCTTATATGTTTGTTGAATACAATTATTATTATAACAATTGATTTTGGTATTCAATGTAAGTATAATTTAAATATGATTTATATATTAGTATTTTATAAAAACAGTTATTTATTTATTATCATTATATATATATTGAATTACAAGAGACTATTGAAGATATAATTAAAAAGTAAAGATTACTGAAAACAATGACCACAACAACAACAATAGTGAAGAAGTATTCATTTGATCGTTTCGGCGATGATTTGTGTCAACTATTGCTTCAATATCTGCCAATCGATGACAGACTAAGACTACAATCGGTGTCCAAACAATGGTTGGCATTGATATTCAATACACAAAGACGTCTTGTATTTGATGACAAACTATTGAATAGATTTGGTATTAAGAACTCATTGATTGACTACAAACAGACATTTTATTTTTTTAAATTTATTGTCAAAAAGTGTCCAAACCTTACAACAGTAACTATACATCATTTTCTCAATTATTTTGATTTATTGATCAAATACTGTCCCCGATTGAGACATTTAAGTCTTTATTATACTTATTGGCAAACTTATAGTAAATCATTTGATTGTTTTTGTCGCCATTTTGGCCAACAATTGCTGACATTCAAGATAAGCGGAAAATTTATTGTAAATTTTACATTACCGGTACATTCAATCTACCCGTACATTCCCGACCCCCGACAAAAATTGTTTTATAAAAGTATCCATTGTTTGACAAATTTGAAGACTCTCCACATCAATCTTACGCCCAATTTTTAATTATCGCTAAATTTTATAACAGTATATCATTTTATTTAATAAAATAAATAAATAAATACTAAACTTTTTGAATAATATTATTTAAGCAATGCTAAATTTATTTATATATATATTTTATTATTTTAATTTTATTATTTTTAAATTATATATATATATATATATATATATATTGTAATTTTAGTAGTAAACTAAAATGTTTATAAATGTATAAATAAATAAAACTATTATAAAGCATTATTGTAACATGACAACATTTACTGATTGATAGTAATGTTAAACATTTGTATATTGAATACTGGAATTCAATTGGCTTAAGACAAGTATTTAAATACGGAAAATATAATTAATTACAATTAATTAAAATAAACTAATTAATTACAATTGTTATTATAATAATACTTTATTTTTGAATAATATGATATAAGCAATGCTATATATAATGTAATTTTAAGTTATTTCAAGTCAAAAATTATTACTGTATAAAAATGTAATAAAATATTATTAGATGAAATTATATGAAATTATAATTTGTAATTAACTGTTAATTGATTGATTGGTTTGTAATACTATTTTATTAAAATTTATTTATTTAGTCATCCATTGGTTACATATATTGTATATTTTTTAATAAAATTTATTATATTAACATTATGTTACCTAAACTACTATTTTTTTTAAAAAAAAGTAATCACATACAAAATTAATTGTATTATAAACTATTATATATATTAATAGATAAGATAAAATTATAAATGTGTTGGAAAAAATATTTTAATGTGTGTTTTAATCAAATAATAACTTAATTGCTATTGTAATTAATTTACTGATAATTATAGTAATATATACTAATAAATATTAAAAATTAAATTTTACTATTTCTAGTTAATAAATATAAGTATAATTTAGTATAAAATAAATTACATTATAAATAGCATATTAATTGACTGTTAATAAAGTGGTATTTTTTGTTGAATACAATTATAATAATAATTATTATTATTATTCTAACAATTGTTCTGATAATTAAATATAAGTATTAGTTTGCATTAAATTTACTTTTTTTTAAACTTTTTATTACATATTTTTGTTTAATCATTATATTCATTAAATCAATTAAAATATCATAAATTAAAAAATCAAAAGACTATTGAAAACAATGACAACAATAACAGCGAAGAATGACTCGTTTGATCGCTTCGGCGATGATTTGGCGGAACTATTGCTTCAATATCTGCCAATCGATGACAAACTAAGACTACAATCGGTGTCCAAACAGTGGTTGGCATTGATATTCAATACACAAACACATCTCGTATTTGATAAAAAACTATTGAACTTTTATTTTAATAATACTTTATTGAAAAAGAAAAAATTTGCTAATAATATATTTAAAAGATTTTTGAATATATTTGTTAAAAAGAAAAATACTATTTATTTGTTTGAATTGTTGGTCAAAAAGTGTCCAAACATTACATCAATCATTATAAATGATATCAATTTATTTGATAATTTTTTTGAATTATTAATTAAATATTGTCCACAATTGAGACACGTATGTCTTGAGAGGAGATGTTTTGAATCTATTGATTGGAAAAGTTATAGAAAATCATTTGATTGTTTTTGTCGCCGATTTGGCCAACAATTGCAGACATTAGAGTTTTACGGATATTATTTAGAAATTAGTGAACAATTGTTATGTAAAAGTGTCAATAGTTTGACAAACTTGAAGACTATTGAGATTTGTCTAAAGGATAGAAATGAACTGGAATTGGATGTCATAATCGGTGACAATAAGTTGTATTCATTGCCGAAAACTATACAATCATTGACACTAAGACTGGAAAACAATTTTATCCAATTATTTACTAACTTTACCGATACTTATGGCCAACAAATTAAATCATTGAGACTAACTATATTAGTTTATCATGAAAACAATATAACAATACTGACAACCGGTTTGTCACAAATGCAACAATTGAAACAATTGGTTATTAGTTTACCCACAAATTTCGGTACCGATCAGACCGTTCAACTGTTGACAACAATTGGCCGCCGGTGTCGACAACTGATAGAGTTTAGCTATATATCATTGGATTCAAATATTGACTTAACTAACAAAATAATATACACTATCAATGAACATATGTCACCACAATTGAGACGATTATCAGTAGATTTTTGTAGCAATAATAACGAAGATTTAAACGGAGAGCTGACCAGCGGTTCGCTAAAACACCGATTGCACCGATTGACACATTTGTCGACTTGTGTAGCCTATTGGCGAATAATCGGTGACCAGTTTTTCCGTGACATTCACCACAATTATCCTCGACTACAGTTAATACATTGTCGGAGAGCGTTCATCACTGATATGTCGATTATATCCTCAATGGGACAGTTGGCACACCTCAGGGATGTCTATATCGTGTGCCATCCAGACATACGTTTGACAATAACTGATGAATTAATTAAACAATATTTACTGATTGATAGTAATGTTAAACATTTATATATTGAATACACGGATACAATAGGTATACGACAAGTATTTAAATACGGAAAATATAATTAACTAATTAAATGATTAATTTTAATCACTAATTAATTACCGATTGTTTTAATAATACTAATAATAATTTATTATTATAGCAATTGATTTATTTGACACTACGTTACCTAAACTACTATTTAAAAAAGTAATCACAATAAGTATTATATATTAATAGATAAGATAAAATTATAAATGTTTTTAAAAAAATATATAATTAAACGTTTTTAATCAAATAATAACTTATGTAATAATAATAATTGCTAATGTAATTAATTTACTAATAATTAGTAGTATATACTAATAAATATTTTTTAAAAATAAGTTTTAATATGTGTAGAAATAAATTAGTTTTATTTTATTAAAAAATTAATAAATATTTTTTTCAACTATTAATAATAGTAATTTTACTTTAATAATTAATTAAAAATTACAAATGTGTAAAATTATATATTATATAATAAATGTTGTTCAATAAATTAGACTTTGTTTGACTTTTAAAAAAATGTTTTAATTTATAATTTTTTTTATAAATTTATAGATTTATAAAAATAATAATAATTGAAAGTAAAATAAAATATTTTATAATATTAATAACATTATATAAATAACTAATAGATGTCATCAATAGTAATGTGTATTTAAATCAAAAACAAATAAATATTATAAACATTAAACGAAAGTCAAAAACCACTTATAAATATTTAGACTCATTTATAAAAGGCCAAAATTTACAATAAACATTAATAATGTAATAAAACAAAAAATAAAAGTTTTTAAATAATTATTTATTTTTAATAAATTACAATTTTAATTATCATCACTATCAGATGTACAATCATTATTAAAATTACAATTAATTTCTTTAAAATAACTTATATAAAAATTTTGATTTTGAATATCTAAGTATTTTAATAAACATAATAAATCATTAATTTTTCTTTAGATATACCGACATTTTTTAATAATAAATTAGTATCAATATTTGATACTTTAATATAATCTAAATTTGATTTAAGTAAATTAGTTTTAACAACATTTTCATCAAAATAATTATCATATAATAAAATATCACCATTAGGATAAAATAAAAATTTACAAAACTTAGATATATGAACTTTAGTTCTTTTTTCACAAAAAAAATTATTTAAAAAATTATTAATATTATATACTTCAGATTCTATTGTTATAAAATTACTATCTTTAATTAACTTAATATATTCATTAGGATTTTCTATTATTTTATTTTTACATTTTTTACTTATTATACCAATAGTAATATTACTATCACACCTACAAAAACTATGACCTTTAACTGGATATAAATGTGCTAAAATAATATTAAATTTAATTGAAATAT